CAATGTACCTATGTATTTACAATGTTCGATTATCATGGAGCAGAACGAACACACAACCATTCCCTTCACAGCAGTAGTCCAGTAATTTACCACACGACCAGTGAATGGGTCAGGTTAGGTATATAAAAACAGATGGTAAAAAAATCTATTGATCGGTTAATCGGTTAATCACAACGGTGGTATAGGGTTGAGCATCTACCTACTTCAGAAAGCTAGTGCAAACGCATTCGTATTATTTTGACCTCAAATAAACAATAATACATTTCCTTGAGTTGTCGTTTTTAACGTCACTCGATCCCAAAAGCTTTCTGCAGGGTCATATTTTGTAAAGTTTTAGATTGTTGTTGCGTGTCCGTTAGAACCACAATAATTTATGTTCAGAAACCAGATGTATAAGATATTCAGTGTCTACATAAATACCACTCGTATATTGCTGTGTATAGGTACATACGTGTTTATCTATCCGTTTAACTGTTTTACATATTATACAAGTACATTTTTGATAGTTTATGGAGTTTTGAATAATTACACTGTTGGTTACAGTTTTATAAAAAAATATAATTTTTGATTACAGTAACTTTTTTAAGCGTTTTAATTTTTTTTACATGAAAGCAGAATAGTTTTCTGAAAATGTTGATGTACAAATATCGAATTAAATCTAACAAAAAGTTTTATTTTTCAATAATCGCTTAAAGTTTGGATGAGTGGAATAAAATAGAAAAGGGTCTAGAGAATACCCCTTAAAAGTTGTGGTCCACTACTCCACAATGTAAACTTTAAATGATTATTAATAAAAAAAATTACCTTATTTTCGATATTTATCCATCAAAGTTTTTATAAAAGTATTCCGCTTCTGGTTATGAAAAAAAAAAAAAAATATTGATGCCAGTTTAACGGAACACTTCTGTATAATATATATATTATAATTTTCACCCGATAGTCGTCACCGCTGTTAAAATTATTAAAAGTACGTTAAGGGAAAAAAGCTGATCAAATGTCATATTATTTTTCGTCGTTATAAAACGTTTTCTGAGGGCTGTGAGACACAAAAAAGCTCAAAAACTAGTTTATGTCTGTGACTAATCATCAAGCCAAATAAATGATCAGATTCGTATTATAACGTTTTTTGGTTCGTATTTTCTGTCGTTACAATCGCGGTATTATGCCGAGGCCTACGCATAATATTATAATCGTTGTGAAAACGCAAATTACCGAGGAGCTATTTTTTTTATTGATCCTTTAAACATCGGCAGCTGTGGCCTATTATAGGTATAATGTATTATTTTTTTATGTTTTTACATTTTTTTCTTCATTTATTTATATAATATAATGTATACATGTTTAATTTTATACATCCACTTAAGTTGTTATGTTTATGCATGGTCGTGTATCCAGGAAATGTTTATCACACCTCAACGAAAATATCATTAATATAGGTGCCTATAAATTATAATATTATTATCATTTTGACGTTTGACCATAATAGTCTCCACTATAGCATTATCTAAGGGACCCATTGTCCGTATATTAATAAGTAATACTTATATGTTTACTTATACACACTGCACACACATATAGTCCCTTGTGACAAAAACTTCCGGAAATGCACTGTATGTTATATGACGATAGTCTGGCATGATGTTCCAATGATGCATCCTACACCCATCGCGCCGTCATGCCACTATAATATATTATTATAATATTAGAATGCAGGGATGCGGGTTTTGGGTCATTAAAACCATCTCTAACTTTACATATTAACGCCCCCGAAAATCGCTTAAATTCATATTATGTAAATGTATATCGTTTTCATGTTTTCAACGAGACCCGCGTATGGACGAAAGAACAATCGCTCTCGAAATATGTCGTAAGCAAATTTTTGTGTGACCTCCCCTGAATGATGCATCCCCGGTAATGGCATACTTCAATGACTCGGTAATTGAGTAAAAATGTACAGTCATTGACTGATAACTTGACACAAAACCACGGTACCGTTTCCGGTTTTAAATTATTATTGACATAATATCAGATTTTGTTTAGCAAAATTTGTATATTTCACTTCAACTTTTTGAGTCTTTGAAGCAAACTGTACATTTTTAATATTTTCACCACCAACCTTCTTCTTTAATACACCAAAATGATAATAAATATTACATATCAGATTATATTATTTATAATATTTTTTATGACAATTATTGGGTTGAGATGTTGCAATTATACCACCCACCTATATTAGACATGAAGCAATTGCTTCGAATAGTCCTATATCTCGCCGCCACTGGACTATATTTATTACAAAACAATTAGGATCATAATAATTATGAAAAAAATAAATACAAAAATGTATAATATGCCTTACTTCTACCTATATCTTACTATAATATAGGTGTATAACATGTAACCAATGGGGCAACCATTAAAATAAGGAGAAAATAAAGTGTGTGAGCTCGAGCCTTTTTAGCTACCTATAGGGGTTGGCAAATAAGCTATACTATAAACGCCCTCAAAGTCTCAAGGAATCTATTGCTGTAACTTTTATTAAAAACGGTTCAATAGTTGTTGAGTCTTTTAACTTCGAATAAACCAACATTCATTTTTAGCTTTTCACCACCCAACTTCACCCTTAAAAATCGAAAAAGTATAAATTATTGTGCTATATACGTGTATCTTGTTCTCTTAGTGTACCTCAGTTCACTAATCAGTATCGGTTTTCCCCGCTTTCTGAATTAATGATACCGATAGGGACAATGCATCTGTGGTAGATTTGTACAGCACTTCGTAAAAATCGGATGTGGTTAAAACTACTCTCTAAACTTTTTTGATAGCTCTAAATTTCTCAATATCGGTCAAGTAGTTTTGAGTAGATATAAGCTATATATTCAACCATCACATTTATATTTCCAACTTAAATTTCTAAATACTTGCGTGAGTACCTCTTCTGGCCAATTCGTCCAAGTTTTTATTAATTCATTCCGTAAAAACCTCATTAGGACAATCACATATTTTTTTTTAAAAATGAGCCAATAATCCTGTCTAGACTTTCTCAAGTGATGCAATTACCAACGCATAGCATTAAAATGTCATTATATAAGATATATACAGACTACTAGACTAGTTTCACTATTGTTAGATTTCAGTGTATAAAAACATAGAGATAGAAAATAAATGAACCTAATTAAAAGTTTAATATTTATTATTGTATTTACTATTTTGTACAAATAAAATATTAATTGCATACTCAGTGTTATTCGTTTCACAATATTAGGAGTACCCTGATTGTGTTGTTAAACTGCCATTAAAAATTGAATTCTAAGGAAATTCGTTGAAAATTTTCTTGAAAATGTAAGTATTGTATATTATATAAACAAAACACAAAACTAACACGGTGTCACAGTGACAGTGACACTGACAAATGACTGACGGACGTAAACAGCTCCAAGGAAAAACATTAAAGAATGGATAGTTAGGCTAGGTTGCTAGGCAATTAACAACACATATAAATCTTATTTTGTATCCATCCCAAAATAAATTATAATGTACAAATACAAAAAAGCTTTATTTTATATATATAGATACGGAAAATTATACGCAATCATAATAACATCAATAACTATTTTATTACTTATAAACAATGAGGAGTTGGTACCGAGTGAAATAATCAAAAAATATTCGATTTGTTGAAGCTAAAATTAAATTTATATGTGAACAACTCTATTACAACATATTATACGAGTTAAAAAATAAAATATAAGCCTTCTCGGAGTCCTTAGGAATCTATTTATGTAACTTTTATTGAAAATGGTTCTGTACTAGTTCTATATTTTCAAATCACTAATAGGTGCATTATAATTTATATTACATCACAAAAAAGTAAACTAGTATATTACATTTGATTTATTTAAGCTATTTAGATAATATTATATATCATTATTTTAGTGTGGTACGTGTGATAAATTGACTATACTTTTGTAAATTGAAGTGTATTTGGGTGAGAAGTAGTTAACATTTTTTGATTTGGTGCTTGTTGTTTGTTATCATATGTTATCATATCATACGCAGGGACTTTTTTTATTGACGACGATTGTTGATTATGAATATAACATCAAAGTAGGTACATACAATATGTTCAGGACAGTGCCGAAAGATATTTCGGAAGGGTATTGGTTTTAAATTAAAACTTTTAATTGTTTAATCTACTTGATCGATAATATCTTATCTGATATAATATCTGCAAAATAATTTTCAATACGGATGATATCTTAGTTTTAATACACAGCTAACGCTATTAAGGTCCACACACACTGCAGCGGTGGCGGTAAAATGCTTTTGTCGTGGTGGCAAATTGTGTCAGGACTCATTTTAACGTTACTCCTGCAGTGTATGGTTACCTTTAATGTGGTAAAAGTGTCGGAGAAAATAGATGATATTTTATTCACCATAACGCCTCTTATATGTAACTGAAATCATTTAAATCGTATTTAGTCTTTTAATAATTTCGTCATGGAAAATTTTTCAGCGAAGTGTGTATACAACTTTCACACGCTGTTAAAAATGGGTTATTTTTGGAACACGAGCCTTAATTAAGCACTCTGTATACGACTATAAGAACTGTTTCGTACCTATGGCGTAATAAATATTATAAGTGTCTCCAAAACCAGATCGTAAGTCGTTTTAAAACAATAATTTATATACGTATATTGCACAGACACTTAAATATATACAAGTTAATAAACTACCTACATATTATAATATAAAACACCTTAATCGGGCGAATTAAAATCTTAAGTAAACAACATTATAAATATCGAGATTTATAAATTTGACTGCGAGTCTGCGATAAACAATTAGTAACAACGCATATATACACGCCCTTATGAAATACATACATCTGAACCTTCTACCGTGTCATTGTCGTCTGCGACGAACGTCGTTAACTATTGTTTTGTCACCGTCGTCGTTGTATACTGTTAATCGATTTTTGGCCGTGTTTATGTTTTCAGAATGGCCCGGCCATCGATCATCGCGGATACGGTCATGAACAAAGGCAAGAGGGCCTCCACCGTCAGCAGTTCGACGACGATGACGTTCATCGTCTCTAACGGGCCCGGCGGCGTGTTGCTATCGAACGCCTGTCAAAATCGCATGTTGAACGCTCCCCCCGAAAATCTCGTCTAGAAAAAAAAAAAACACAAAATATATATTGTATTAGGTTTTAGAGGTCCGACGGTATCGTCGTTAGTAAACAACTATTGTCTATTCGCCCCGCAGCTGTCTGCTCGCTATTAGTATAAAAGTTTCTGACCGGTAAACCCATTACTTTAGACCCATGCGTGTCACTTTTACCGCCTCAATCCCCCAATATTCTCTTAGGTAAGTACTATATTTATAACACGTAATTATTGCGTGACGTGTTTAAAGTGTGTGTGTGTGTGTGAAGACTTCTTAAACATCCGTAAATTAAATGCGATTGACAAACCATTGCTCATAATATAACCAATAATCCTGAAATATTGTTATTGTTTAAACTACTTACTTTACAAAAATATAAACGACAAATAAAAATGCACCTTAACAATATATACTGTGCTCGTTTAAAATATTCATTTTAATATTTTAAAAATCACCGAAACAATTTCATGATGATTATTTTTCATAATCATCATGAAATTGAAACATAATTTGAATTCATTCAAACATGACATTATAACAAACAACAATTAACTTAAAAATTATCCAATTCAAATAGATTATAACATTTAACTATTTAAGTGATATATTTTAGAACTGTTCAAGATATTATTTTCACTTTTTCCTATTGTTGCTATTTTTCTAAAAACAAATTTTAATTTATATTAAAAAAAAAGAAATAACGAATCATTTATCACTTTGAATGACAAACGGGTCTCAATATTAATATTTAAAGTCAGGAAAAAATAAAAATATATTGGTTTAATTAATGTTTTTATGTATCAGTGTAAATACTACTCGTTAAATACTACTACATTTGGATTTAATTCAAAATATATTAGATAACAATGTAATACATATATTAGGTGATTACATTTGTTTTTATCTATAGTACTTACATCCAAAAAAAAAACATATACAATCCATGTGCTCCTTGTTTACCTAATTGTATGATTAATAATATTTTTTTTTTTTAGTTAATATAATTTGTATAGCGAGTTCCATAACTATATTATAGATTTATGACTTGGCATTTTTTAAATATGTATCTACTATTGGATCGAGAAATGATAAAAACTCATTCGTTTATGTATATAAAACTAAAGATATACGTGTGTACTGAGTAGTAACTAGTAAGCAGAAACTTAAATTTAAGATTGCTGTATTCCATTATATCTGTACTCAATAGATTTTTTATACATAAACAATTAAAATTCAAATAGTTGATTATTATTTGATAATTAATAATATTATAAGTAATTTTTAACAAAGTGTTTAATGACACATCATATCAGTGCTACAACTAGGTTTATGTTTAACATATTTAAATCGCTAGAGTTGTAAATAGCGAAGTACTACGATAAATTCCATGAATACATCATAGATACTGAACTTTCGATTCATGAATAAGTTGATAAGGATAACCCTTAGTCGTGGCTCTGCATATCAGTATTGTTAAATTATTTAAAAGTAATCAATTCATAGATAGTAATAATGTATTATTATGTATTGTGTAATATTGATGAAGGATCCATCATAATATTTAAGTATATATAAACAGTTAGAAGTTAATTTATCTCATACTTGTTTTTGTTACTACCTAGGTACATTATATGTTATTGATCATAGTCGTAAGTCCATTACAATACAATTCTATTATTTTCTCCACAATTCAATTGTAGCATAATTATAAATTATATATCAACAATTGGACTTAAAATAATATGTTAAAAACTATAATAATTTTAATTATCATCGTTATAAATGTTAAACATTCATTTTTTATGTTCGAATATCCAGTATTCTAAGAGTATTATGCAATACTGTTATTTATAAACTAATTTATTGGTTTGATGTTTCTATATTGGTGTATAAATATTGTTTTAATTATTTACTATACAATACATATTATAATTAAGTGTGATTATTTAAATTTACGTTATTCAGTGTTATCTCATGAATAAATAATGAACCTACTACCTATAATATATTTTGTTTTTTTAATTTTTTAATTTTTTTCCAAAATTAGTTTCATTTTAATATTATAACCAGTTATAATCCAATAATACGAGCGTTGTTTTTACATCGCTTATAACGAATTTCCGTTGGCTCACAAAACGATCAATGACCTCAAGACTTCTATAATTATGTTTTTCTAACTTGTTGAGATATTACTGCTATAAAGTAGGTACCTACTTTAAAAAAACTAAGATGTGGATAAATTGCGACTGTAACATCATATTCAAATGTTGTTATGTTTTATTGACTTTGATGGGTATGTAATAACTTAATTATTAACAATTATTTCAAAGATCATTATAAGAATTTAAAAGTAAAATTAAATTAATCAACTAATAATTTATAAAGATATATATTATTAATAAGACCTTCCCTTAAGAAATATATCATTATGAGTTTCAATTTCAATAAAACAAACATCTTTTAAAATAATTTTAAAATACTGAGAAATATTGTAAAACTGCATTAAACAATGACAGAATTACAGAATTAATATTATTCAACTAAGTCCTTTTTCAATATACGTGAGTATCAAATTAGTAATTATCTTTAATAATGTAAAAAGATACATAATATAATCATGTAATAACATACCCTTATTGTTTTATTTCGTTAAAATATCCACAAAATAATTTTAATTAATAATCAACTAAAAATTTAAAAGTAACCAATTCTATTTGCTACAATAATGTAGATCATATTTTTTATAAAAATATAAAAATTTAATAAAATGTTATTCTTTTTTATTCAGAAAAATAGTAAAAAAACAACTATAGATAATAAGGAATTATCAATTTTTGGAACAACCAGAATTCAATAATGATTCCCATTTTGATTTAATTTAATAAAATGTTATGGTATGGTATTGACAATTTATTTAATTAAGTACTTCTTATTTCAATGTCTACTTAAAAAACAGTGTCTAATAATGTTTTATCAATGGGAAATATTTTAAACGGAAATTCAAATTAATGGCTCGATTAAAATTCAAAATTGATTTATGCTTTGATAGTGAAATAGTATTTCGATCACATTAACCGTAGGCTTACAACAGTTGAACATTTGTTACTGTTATTTAAACATTAAATATTATTTTACAATCTAAAATTATTGTTGGCTACAACAGTTATACCAAATATTTTCAACGTCAAATTCAATGTGCCATGTTGTCATATTTTCAAAACCCATTAGACGGTTTATTGAATTGAATACACTCAGATAAAGTCATTGTTTTGGAGAAAAACATGTTTGTATATTTTGTTTTACAATAATTTTTATTGAGTACGAGAAATAATAATAAATTCCCCTCCATTATTGCAGATCATTAAGTAACTATGTAGGTCAAGTATTTTATACATTAGTCCACTGCAATTAATCTTTCTGTTATGAGTTAATGTTTAAAGACAGTAATTTGTACAGATTTGAACTGAAGTTTTTATACTTATATCGTTATATGCGATACCAATGTACATATTTTCATGAACGTCGTTAAGTAAAATTTGTAGTTAAATTCATATTCGAGGTATTTGGTAGTACATTTGATTGTTGTATTTGAATAATATCAACTGTTTACCTATAGACTAGAACTGTTGAAATGTTTAGGTGTACGCTGTAGTATGTCTGGCATAACCGTGGTCACAATATAATATGATTAGATTGACGGTGTTTTTGAAATAAAATTATACTATGAACTTATAGACTTAACACCGATAAGTAACTACATAAGTGCGAGGAATAGTAGTGGAAAACGAATGGCGTTTACGACGCATTATACTATCATATGAATGGATCGAATCCTGGAATTTGTATACAACATTATTATAATATAAATTGTACATACCAACAGACGACAGTTTTTATAAGCCATGCGGATAATCTGTTTAGAATTTATAGTACAAATCGCTTTTAATATTTTGTACATTTAAGCATCTGTAGAGGTACGACACTACTGGATTTTACTCAACTTTCAAGCTCGTTATAAAAATGTAAAATAATAAATACCAAAGTCATAGCCACTTAATTTTGATACTTAGTAAACACTTTTATAATTTATAACTATCTAGTCTAAGTTCCAACTGATTAATAATAATTATAATTATGTACCTACCTGTACGTTAAAATTAAAAAAAACTATTTATTTACTAATTTTATTATGTAATTACTTACGTAGATTTCATCATATAAATTATTGAATTGAAAATTTTTTTAAGTTATTTTAAACAATAAACTTTTCTTAGATAAATGTTTGTTTCCAATTTAATGTAATTTTAAACAATAGTAGATATATTAGAAAAGTCACACAGTGTCTTCTTTATTTTATTTTAGATATCTTCTATCCGTATCTTACATCACATGCAAAACATTTCAAAAATATGATTGATGATTACAATAGAGTTTATCTAAACCGGATAATTTTCTTAATTTGTTTAGTGCTGTCTTAAAACAAATAGCTGTCTAATCAGTAGTACATTTATCACTTTTTATCGCTTGTAGGCACGCTAAAAAATACAACGTGAGTTCGATAATCAAGTACTATTTTTATTTCATGTATAAATTATTTGATAAGTACTAGAACTAGATATATATTTTTTCTAGTTAAATATTAGTAACATTTCTTGAATTTTCATCCTCATTTTAGAGTAAACCATTGACAAACCATCAGAAGTATACAGAAATAGGTACTTGCAATGATTTTAACGTTTCTCTGTTAGCTAGCCACGATCGATCAACGATGGTTGATAATTATAAAATACATTTCAAACAAATATCTTTCCACTCAGCTATTCGGATACACACGACGTAGTATTAAATTATTAACTGTATAATATAGTTCCTTCAGGTGACGCATACCAGAAAGAAAAATAAGTGAATTTGAAAAGAAAATATGCTTAGAACATGCTGCCCCAGGTAAGTGCCAACCATAAATATATGTATTTACTATTTACGCCTCTAGCTCCCTTGTTTCTTTAATAATAATCACT